TTTTTTTCGTTGATTTTAGGAGATTGCTAGCGGGGATTTCGAAAAGGAGAAACTGTCACCGAAGGGGTCGCAGATAGTTGAACTGCTAAACTGCGCGAAATTGGGTAGAAGTTATTAAGTCGGCAAAAATTTCGTTCCTGAATAGTTTGAAAGAAGCATCTACCGTTCTTCCCAGGATGTTTTTCGATGAACAACCTCCCCTTCACCACCCTCTTCTTCAATCTTCTCGCAATCTTTTTACTACAAAAAAAACGAAGAAATATTGAAAAACACTGACGGCAGAAACAAACGCATCGACCAGTATTCGTTGAGATAGTAAGCTCTGAAGGGGCTTCGGTTCGCGAGCACGACTTGGTGGAGTAAGAAGCTCTCTTATCGCCCGGCATTCATAAAACTTAGAAAAACTTTACCTAGAAAATACCTAGAAAATTTTCACTTGAAGTCTTGATGAGTCTAGGACCAGTTAATCTCGCTCAAACTAGCACAGTTAAAACGTCAAGCAGCTCCATCTTTTTGGCTAGATATTGCTCCTTTTCGAGGTCAGGCAGCGACTTTTTTTATTCCGTAATCTAAATTAAGGAAACAAAAAAAATGAAAATATCTTTTTCATCTTTGTCTCTAGTTCCTCGGCATTCCTCTGAGCGATCAGCTCTGGTCAAGTCTGAGTTTCTATCCTTCCTGTCTTGCTTCCATGTTTTCTTGGGTTATTCGTGATAAAGCTTTAGGGGGTCTTCTTCTTTTATAATGGTCATGTAACTTTCCGTGGCGAGTAGTTTGAATAGTTCTAGCCTCTGCTTTGGAATTCATCTGCGGCTTGATCTTCAGATTCGCTGCTATTGAGTACGGAGCCTGTCGTGGTGAATTCCTGCAGTCTTACCTATATTCCACATCAATTTGAGTCTCTCGTCGTTTGAGCTCTTATTCCACTTCCCTCTTCCTTTTCCTGTCTGGAATTATTTCAACTCCGCTTTTCCGTACTTCATTTCTACCTTCCTTTCCTCTTATCATTTATTACTGTCATTAAATAAAAACATTTTTAGTAGGATTTGTTATGTATACGTTAATCGAGAAAGTGATGCCACTTCTAATAACCGTTCACGGTTACGGTTTGCAGATATTTGTGAAAGGGATGAAGCCTGGATGGGACCCGGCAATTTATGAGCTAACCAGGAAAGGTCAACAGGTCAGCCCGGCCATTTCCAATGAGCTGCACACCGTTGTACGCGTCTTGGGACGGTGAACTCAGAACTGTCTTCAAAATTTGCAGAACGATTCTCTGAACGGAGTTATGGAGGGTTTTATCCCCGCATGGTCGTTTCACATGCTATCGCGAGGAAACGTGGAAGCGTCTTTACATTTACGTATGGAATCGTTCTGAAACGTGGCAGCAGAGCGCAACGGATAGGGAGCGGGTTTCTTAGGCGAGACGTCGTAGGATCGGTTCCGGGGCAGGTTTTTTTTGCATTTGTCCAAGAACATAGCCGACAAAGCTTCTAACATCTCTGCTCGCCTGCACTACCCTACAACCTGCAATCAGTTTTTTTCGAAAGTGTAGACCCATTGTGGCCTGAAAGAGTGCTTCTGCTTGTACCCCTCGTAACACAAGGGTTTTTGCAATGAAATATCATCATATTCATGTTCAGCGGGTCGAATTACCCCTGGGGACAAGTTTCTGGCCGAATCTGATTTTTCGACCTCATTCGGAAAATGTGGGCTATTCCATGGGTAATTAGCAGCAGATTGGAGCTCACCTACCATCGATGACTGGTCTCGGAATGGGATTTCCTCCCGATAGTCAAGAAAATGATGCAGACGGCACAAATAAGTAAGCCAGGTACTGTTGTTTGCAAAAAGACATGACTGAAGAGTTATTTCAGTTCGAAGACCAGTCATCACCAGTATGCTAGTCATAGTATCGATGTTAGCTATCAGTCAGCCATGACTATCCATACCCCATTTTTTCGAAGTTGAGTCAGAAGCTCAGATTTCGCTAAGGTGACGTCCCTAGGGGTTATTTGACCCCCTGAACACGAATATGATACCTATTTTGCGCGAAGAGCGCTGTGAGTCGCGCTACCGGTGCCAACGCTTCGGTGCCAGCGCGCCCGTAAGAAGAAAAACAGTAAAGAAAAACCTCAATAACTCCGCTCAGAGAATCGTTCTGCAAATTCTGAAGGCAGTTCTGAGTTCAGCGTGTAAAGATGAGTACAGTGATGTGCATCTCATTGCAAATGGCCAGGCTGACCTGTTGACCTTTCCTGGTAAGCGAACTTTCATGCTCATACTACTTGAGTGTTCTTGACACATGTCGGATTGGAAAATTGAAAAATTTTTGATGGGAATACTTTCTTAAAATCTGTTGTTACAGTGATGAGGAGACGATCAAGCTTGAAGGACTCTCAGCTGAACAAGTCAAAGAAATGCATGCGAAAGCTGAAAAACATGAGTTCCAGGCTGAGGTTTGTATTAGATGAAGGCAGAGAAATGCGTCTTGTTTCATGGCAGTGTGTGGTAACCGCATTTATTAAGGTGAACCGTATGATGAAGCTGATCATCAACTCTCTCTACCGTAACAAGGAAATCTTCCTTCGAGAACTCATCTCCAACGCTGCTGATGCTCTAGACAAAATCCGATTAATCTCTTTGACGGATCCCAGTGCACTCCAGACCAACGAAGATATGGGTATAAGGATTAAGGTAGGTGTGCCATCATACCCTTGGTCGTAGGTAGACTCTCAAAATCTCTGAGTTGAGGTAGGCGTGGCTGCGTGCTTGAATTCAAGATTAGATGGTGGCAACGGCCTAAGCTTTCCGTGAGATAATTTGGTTTTGGGATGCTGTAATCATGTCCCCATTCAACAGAAGATGACAGTTGTCTCAAATTAAAATATCGAACGAGTAAGCAACCCTATGCCACGCCTACTCCGTCCTAGGGATGTGTGTAGTTCGGTTGCAGAAGTGTACTAGCATTTAATTTTCTCTTGCAGGCTGACCGGGAAAACAGACTTCTTCACATCACTGATTCTGGTATCGGAATGACCAAGGAAGAGCTCATGAATAATCTGGGAACTATCGCCCGATCAGGTACAGCAGAATTTTTGACGAAGCTGATGGATAGTTCGACGTCAGCGGACGTTCAACAGGTCAGTTCAAACGTCTGTGGAAGGATTTTCTACAATAATTTATCAGTTGTAGAGTCACTTCTGATTTAGGAACTCATCGGACAATTCGGTGTTGGTTTCTACTCAGCTTTCCTAGTAGCTGACCGCGTAGTGGTTACCACAAAGAGCAACGATGATGAGCAGTACATCTGGGAGTCTGATTCCGGCTCTTTCACAATCGTAAAAGATCCTCGTGGACCTACCTTGAAGCGTGGAAGCACCAAATCCAGCTCTCCACATGATGAGGAGGAAGAAAGGCCCGACATGATTTCCTCTGGAGCCTGACACTTTGAAAGAACTTGGTGGCAGCAAATAGTTCCCCAGTTCATTAAGCTTCAGCATCTACTTGTGGCAGTCCAAGATTGAAACAGTTGAAGAGCCAGTTGAAGATGAGCCGACAACCAAAGAGGATGGAGCTGTAGAAGAGGAAAAGGAAGAGAAGAAGACCAAGAAAGTTGAAAAAACCGTGTGGGATTGGGAGCGTGTAAATAACGTGAAACCAATTTGGATGAGGAAGCCTAGTCAAGTTGAACAGGAGGAGTATGACGACTTCTACAAGAGCATCTCAAAAGACTACGAAAAGCCTCTTACCCACGTGCATTTCTCAGCCGAGGGCGAAGTGTCGTTCCGCTCCATACTTTATGTGCCAAAGACGTCACCTAGTGATATGTTCCAAAATTACGGAAAGGTTGTTGAAAATATCAAAATTGTACGTGCGACGAGTATTCATTACCGACGATTTTGCTGACATGATGCCCAAGTACCTTTCGTTCATTCGGGGTATTGTGGACTCGGATGACCTCCCGCTCAACGTATCCCGCGAAAATCTTCAGCAACACAAACTTCTAAAGGTGATTAAGAAGAAGTTAGTACGAAAGGTGTTGGATATGTTAAAGAAGCTGGAGGGAACACTATTTGACGACTTTTGGAAGGAGTTGCAGGCACAACAATCAACTGGGAAGTCATGGAGGATCGCAAGGCAATCTCGAATCGACTCGCTAAGCCTGCTTCGTGAAGTGTTGCATAATAGACTTGGTTCGGCTCGGGTGAAGGGATTTGTTCGGCTATAGGGGTCGTTGCGGCGGCTAATCAGTTTCGAAGCGGGCAAGTGACTATGACTGTGCACTTAGTCTTTCGGCGCTCGGTCCCTACTCGTTTCTCCCAGTTTTGTCGGGCGTAACGCCGGCTTCAACAACTGGCAGCAGAGAACGCCATCTGGGCGCCGTGGCACCAATCACACACTAGCTGACACGCGCTCCACATCGTTAGTTTTCCATCGCTACGAATTAGGGTAGCATATGTCACATCTAGGATGGTTCATCATCAATAAAATAAGCATTTTTTAGGTTTGCTTCCTCCGCACATGAGAAGAACCTTACTTCTCTAACCGATTATGTTGAACGTATGAAGGAGAAACAAGACAAGATCTACTATATGGCAGGAACATCTCGTGAAGAAGTTGAAACCTCACCATTCGTTGAGCGTCTCATCGCCAAGGGATACGAGGTAAAGTTAACTTCTCCGGGCATCTCGAACAAAAACTGTCTATAACAATAACTCCGGATTGCATACATTGGGTAGTGGCGTTCCAGTTTACACAATCTAACAGCCGCTAAAATGACTCCCGCGGAAAGAAAAAAAAAACAAAGAAAATCATGAAGAACACCGTAGGTGATTGTGCGAGTTCTCCGGACTTGCTCATCCAGTGAGAGTAGCATCTAGCAGTGCAAAAAAAAACGCATCTCAAAAACCGGAAATCGCGACTGAATTTGCCTTTGAGTTGTTGGATTAGACAGGGTAGCTAAGGAGGCGTTTAACTGCCACAGACTATGAGGGCCGCAGCGTCTAAGTTTACATACTGTGAAACTGCGAAAAAGGGACAGTCTCAGAGACCAGACTGCTTGTACAAGGAGGGACGCTTACGAGTTGGTCGAGCGCGGGGACAGATAACCAGAAATATAAAGCTTTTTTGAATATCTCTCAAATGTAATGTTGATGTGTTTTCTTGTAGGTGCTGTACCTGACGGAAGCCGTTGATGAATACTGCATCCAGTCAATGCCAGAATTCGATGGAAAGAAGTTCCAGAATGTCGCCAAGGTGCTTTTTCTTGCGATAACTCCTCTGTAGTTTTCCTGTGTAACGGGGAGCCAAGAACGCCAACCTGAAGCTACGGAAATGGCATCCTTTATGGTCATTTGTAGGCATGACAATATTTCTCCTTTAAGCGAACGTCTTGTTTATCCCCAGATTCCTGTAATTAAAGATTTTTCCAGGATGGAGTCAGCATCGATGACTCTGAACAAGCAAAGGAAAATTATAAGAATCTCGAGAAGGAATTCGAACCTCTCACGTCCTGGCTCAAGGAGACTGGATTGAAGGTTAGCTTTTTAAAGAGCTGGTTTCAGATTGTGTGTAATCTCATTCAAGGAGGCTCGCTATGTGTCCAGGAGTTTTAAAGTTTCTGCGACCCAGAGTTAAAGTTTATCCGTTCTAGGATTTGATCGAAAAGGCGGTTGTTTCACAACGACTTGTGAAGTCTCCATCTGCATTGGTGGCATCTTCTTATGGATGGTCAGGAAATATGGAGCGTATCATGAAGAGCCAGGCTTACGCGAAGGCTAAGGATCCTTCGCAAGACTTCTATGCGAACCAGAAAAGACCTTCGAGATCAACCGCCTCGCATCGCAGTTGTAAAGGAATTACTCCGACGTGTTGTTGAGGACAAAGAGGATCAAAAAGCCAAGGACACTGCCCTTCTTCTGTTCGAGACTGCCACTCTCCGATCAGGATACTCTTTGAAGGACCAGGTATCTTCTATCTTGTTTATGCAGAGATCTTGGCGTGACAATTTCTAATATGCTAACAATAAATTCGCAATTCCTTCCAGGTTGGATTCGCTGATCGCATCGAATCGGTCCTTCGACAGTCGCTTAATGTGGCTGCAGATGCTCAAGTAGAAGCAGAGCCGGTTATTGAGGAATCAGATGAGCCTGCTGAAGGTGAGGAAGCTGAAGAACCTGCCTCAGAGGAGTCTGCCCGACGGCATGAAGAAACGGCAAAGTGGAAGGAATGAACACTCAGAAGCTTTAGGCTCGTTGGTATATGTTGTTGTGCAATCAAGTATGACGCTATACCTATTGTTTGTAAGTTGTTGGTGGTCTGTTGTGTATCGCGAGGGCGATTCGACATCACCGTCTAAACCTCGCATCGTCTCATTGATACGTTTCCGTTTTGTTTGATATAGTATTTGTGTTATTAAGGTAATAAATATATATTTATATAAACACATCGTAACAAATTTTTGGCGCAGTTTGATTATGAGAACCATTTTGCACTGTAGCTACTTGACTAGTATCTATGTATTTACAAATTTTACACTGCTGAAGCCTGTGAACTCTCATGAAGCTGGAGCAAGCTCGTCGACCACCATGAGAGGCTCAACTCCTGTAAGCTTCCGAAATGGCCCTCTAGATGGGACAGCACGTCGATGGGAAGTAGCGCAAGTGCATGCATAGGATGTGAACCTTTTGTGTAGGTTTGTGTACGTTATTGACGTAGCCAACGGGGTGGCCTCGTTGGAGTTGCAATATAATACAGTATAGACGAGACGGGGTGGCCTCGTGTTAGGGTGATGGTTTCCAAGACGGGGTGGTCTCGGTGGAGGAGGGAGAAGCGACTAATCTAGGCGTGCCTCTCAATACAGGAGAGGTCACGCATCGAGTATCTAACTATTTACCTATGGGTCATAATCACATGTCTCAATGTTCCCTATGGGTTACACATAATCAATCAGCGGCAGTTCATAAAAAGGGTGCACCGGCAGGTTCTGGTGGCAATCCAGAACACTCCGCGGGGCAAAAAAGGGGAATGAAGACTAAAATATATCAACAAAGCAGAGGTATCTCACAGTAATGACAGAATACTCAATTATGGGTGGTTCAGTGGCTCTGATGAGCGCTTAGTAAAACTGGTTTGAAGAACGTGGTATCGCTCGTCGTCAATTGTGCTCGTGAAGCTTGTGGGCCTGATGGTTGGCCGAGGTAGTTGAGGCAGTTATCTTCGGTTGAGGGTTGACGATGAGGTGAAAACGTAATAATTGCTTTATAGTAGAGTAATGATAAATTTGACTTAGACTACCGAGGTTCCTGTATTCGTTCAGGATTTTGCTTCAATGTTGTAGATGTAGTAGTTCTCATGGCTTCGTCAGCATTGGAAGAAAAGAGAGGTGAAATCGTAGAGATTAACATGGTAAATTCGTAAAGAGGACTGTTAATGGGAATTGAGAAAACCATTTATTATGATGATTGAAATAATGGTCTTGATCATATTGAAATGTATATTATTTCGCTGAGTTACCCCCACTTTCAAGTTTACGCTTTGTTTATGAGTAGCATCAACTTCTTGTGCCATGGCAAAATTGACCTTCCCTTGCCAAGCGGCTGTTTCAAAGGATGTTCCTTCATTGTTGGTGGGTTTTCGGCAATTCCCAGGATGCTTAGTAACAATGTTTTCCGTAAGCATTGAGGGTCGAGACCGAACTGTGCGCGGCTGTTCTGCTTTTTGCAGAGGAGGTCGGCATGTGTGGGATCATGTCTGACCCGATATCTCTCCCGAGGACGTGATCTTCCTAACGGTCTTATAACTGTGGCCGTAGGGATGCCGCTAAGGTAGCCTAAATGACCATAATTATACCTAAGGTGGTCTTGGTTCCCTACAGAAAGCACGTTAGTTGGGCAAGACGCTGTAGTGCCCTCACTAATAACGGTCATTTGTTTAGTGGCACTTCTAGAAAACAAGTTAATGTTCTTTTCTTGCTTATCTTTCCTTGGTTCAATATCTAGGCGGTCTGCTTCAGACATTTTTCGTTTATGCTCCCTATATTGATTAGGTACTTCGGATATTGATGTCATCGAGTATGATACATTTATAGGTATCGGTAGTGTTCGTGGTCCCACGACGACGTATAAAGTCGGACCGAAAATAGTTTTTGCAATATGTAACCCTGATGGGGTTTGAGTGTTGGTCGCGTTTGAGCGAACTAGGTCGTAGTAAAGGTCAAGACCAACTAAGATTTGGGGAACTTGAAGTTCACCATGGATTTTTGAATTGGCGATGAAAATTTCTCGATCTTGCAGGAATTGTGAGTCAGTTTTCGTAAGTTTAACTGACGGAAACTTGCCTGTTATTATAGGCTTTTTTTTATAGTGGGGTTTAGTTCTTCTCCGTGTGCGCTGCATATTTTGAGGGTGACTAGGTGACTTATGAATTTTTCCGTATGTCCCCCTATCCCTGACATTATGCAAGTTTCTGTTGTGAGTTTTGGAAGGCCCAATCGTTCGGCAAGTGCTTCCTCGATCACGGTCTTTTGCGCGCCAGTATCGAAGAAAAATAATACTTTCTCATAAGCGCTCGTTCTCGTATTCCAGACGTTTCCTTCAGCTGTCATTAGTACGAGCTGTTCATATTGTTTATTATTAGAGATGGATGCGTTACCATTTTCAATGTTCTGATTTGAACTGAGAGGTTGCTCTATACTTTGATAGTTGAATCTAGGCATCGTTTCCAGTGTTAACATTATTCCTGTTCCCTACAGAAAGTAGGAGTTAGAAAAACCTGGTTGGTTGGGTGGTTTGGAATATTCTCATTCCTTGACCAACGATTTGATGGGGATGGTAGGTGCTCTCTGGGTGGGGCGTATGTCGAACTTTCAGGGCTTGCACACACCGATGAATGGTGTGTGCCCCCGCAATTAGTGCAGTTTGGTTTGCTGCATTTACTGCTGGAATGATTACTTTTGAAACAATTCCAGCAGCTTTTCTCTGCTTTTAAAATGTCACGACGCCCTTGGCGGTTAGTTACCGTTCCACAAGTGGAGGAAGTGTGACTGGATCTGTCACAGAATACGCACCCTGCATAGTGAGTGGTACGTTCCATATCAATACTGTTATCCCAGGGTGGGTAGCTGGGACCAAGCCGTGACTGGACATAGGCCTTTGCACTTATTTCCTTGTCCAAAGCCTCTAGAAGGTCTTCGATTGCCATGGTATCAGTTTCCTGATGCTTTACGAGAATGTCTTTCACAATATCGTGCGGAAACTTCTTCAGAATGGCTTCAGACCACATAGGGTCACAAGTCTTTCGTATATCGTACCCAGCCGAGACCATTTGATAAATGAGGGTTTTGACCGCATCGAAGCACTCTTGGCAGCTGTTTGCCTCTTCAGATGCAGTCTCGAGGTCGCACAGTTTCTGTACGATTTTTGACTTATTCACTGGCTTATTGCCATATCTTTTGATAAGGGTTTCCACCATCCAGGTATAATTCCTTGGCACGGATTGTATACCCCTTATTACATTTAATGCTGATCCCTGTAAACTGTCTTTCAGCAAAATAATCTTTTCTATCTCACTTATTTCATTGCTGTTATGAACCAGGGTTTCGAAAATTGCCCAAAATTCGGGAAATTCCTCCTGGTTTCCATAGAATTTAGGTAGTACTATGGTCGGTGCCTTGACAACTCGGCAACCTTTTGTAGGGGCGCTACCACCCTCACACTGGTCATATTGGGTAGGCTGGTAGGTGTTTCTGCCCTCAGACGAGACTCTGAGTTTCCGCTGCACAGGTTACTTTTCGCAGCTCTGTTGTGTCCGAGAGATGGGTTTCTAATGCTGCAAATGAAGCTCTCGGCTTCCTCAAGCAATTTTTGGTAGTGGGTTTCTTTTTCTAGCTCTTCCACCTCCGCAACAAACTCCTTTTGCTCAGTCTTCGACTTGATCGATGAGCAAAAGTCCCCCAAAAGATCAACTTTGCTCTGGAGTAGTTCTCTTGCGGGCTTTATAAGTGCTAGACAGGTGCTAAATTGCTCTACATTTGCTGTACACTCTTCGAATAGTTGATTATCGTCATCTGAGTAGGTAACTTTTTGTGTATACCCCCATATTTCTTTAATTTTTCTGCTACAGACTTAGCGCTGCTTATTACGGCGTTTTTCAAAAAGTAGGCGGACATTATGAAGTATAGTAGAGGTATAAAGTAGATTATTTGCTTGAGCTATAGGGAAACAAATGCTGATGAAGAATGAGAAATAACAGTGCTATTGTATAAAAGGGTAAACTGGTCGGCGGAGTCGTTCGCGTGGCCGAATGCACCAGAAAAATGATGTGTATGGTATGTGTACGGGTTTATTGACGAGACGGGGTGGCGCTCGTTTGGAGTTGCAAATATAATATAGTATAGACGAGACGGGGTGGCCTCGTGTTAGGTGATGGTTTCCAAGACGGGGTGGTCTCGGTGGTGGTAGTGGTAGAATGCTGACTTAATCTAGGCGTGCCTCTCAATACAGGAGAGGTCACGCATCGAGTATCTAACTATTTACCTATGGGTCATAATCACATGTCTCAATGTTCCCTATGGGTTACACATATCAATCAGGCAGTCATAAAAGGGTGCACCGGCAGGTTCTGGTGGCAATCCAGAACACCTTTCACCCTCCGTTGTGGTAAGCTTGTCAATTTGGCCACTACACTCATCTGCCGCCTTTTATTCACAGGGTAGCAGAATGCGTTGTGGTGAAACACATTGAGGGTCGTAGTTTCCGCTAGGGAGAGGAGGCGGTGCGTATTGGTAGCGTTGTTGGAAGGGGGGGGTCGTGTGTGGGATTGAAATTTGCCGAGGGGGGTCGCCTGGAAAAAAAAAAAATTTTTCTCGTTGATTTTTTG